AAGGAGCAAAAGACCGCTCATGATTTCGTTAGTACGTCAATGGTATTATTTAAGCAATTTTTTTTTGTTCCTAAACTTGCTAGAAAATTTTTCAGCATAACCGAGGCATCATTCTTGGCGTAAATATTTTTCTACCAATTTTTTAGCAGTCTTTGTCAGAATTTGAAACCGATTGCGCAAACCGGTTATGCAGGAAGAGCTAAAAAAAGAGAAGAAAATAGTGCCTACCAGGTACTGCTTTTTAAAAGATTTCATCAAAATATCCATCACTTCTTCCACGCTAATATCAGGCACTTCTTGAGCCAAATAACCCAGCGACGGTGCTCGGACACTCCGTGTTGCGTTTGTAATTATTTTATCCTAAAATTGCAATAGTAAAACAATAAAAGCAGAACCATTCGCATGAGTAAAAGAACATACGAAAATAATGAAATTTTTCAGCTTGCATGGCCAACCCAATTTTCTATTTTCATGGTTTACTTTAAGAACATACATTTTCAATTTTCCTAGCTTTTTTGCGCAAAACTTTCATAATCAAAACATTTCTTACCATTAAAAATAATTTTCAATACATCTAAAATTTTATTAATTTCTTTTTTTCAACATTAATATATTTTATTTCATAAGAATTCAAGACCAATGATCTTGGATGTATTGTTTGCCCATTTTTCATGGTTTTTTTTTTCAAAAATACATTTTCATTTTTCTGAATACACATGTTTCATGTGCAAAAATTTCATCAAAATTCGAGACTGATGAAAAATTTTTTTTAAAAAAAGAACCAAGTCTTAGCATTTTTGAAAAAAACCGAATTATTTATGGGTACTACTTGCTACTTGCTTTTATTCTCGGACCATATTCGGGTTTCCCGGAGGATCAGAAGCCAAGGAAAGAGAAAAAAGGCCCCTTCGCCCTTTTCTTACTTTTGAACATTTTTTTTTTGGGAAAATTTCATTTCTACAGCACTTACACTGAAAGGTGATGAAAGAGAGCGCTTTAAAACGGTTGGATCAGCATTTATCAGTAGCGTCATATGATGGTACGCCATTCCCCGTACTATTCGGGCTGCTGTTCCGGAAATTTTTCGTTGTCCTGGTTGTAGCCATAAATCGTCCCGTTCATTTGGCTCTACCTGAAAAACGCAGTAAAATAGACTTTTTTTTTGAAAATTTGTTCAGTAAAATTCAAATTCCCTGAACAAACTCAAAACTTCATACTATTCTGGCTCGAATTCGGCCGTCTGGTAAAATTTTTCGATAACTTTGTTTTTCAAAATTATTTTTCAAAATTTGATACTGCCACATGTCAGAGAATCAAACCCACCACCACCGGTCTGTTTCTAAGCAAACTTTGAAAAAGGGCGGGCAGGGGGGGTTCAGACAAATCTGCCAGGAAGTGGTTTTCAGATCTCGTATACATTACTTAACTATAGCTTCTGGATCTGAAATGTGAGATTTTTACGAAAATTTGCAAAAAAAATAGAAAAAAAAGCGTCGAATTTGGGTCTCGACGCGAAATCTAAATAGCTAGCACAGATAAACCAAAAAGCTTCATCAGGAGCAATGCTTTCGAAGGCTTTTTCAATTCATATAATCAAAAACTATATACTTTTCCGTTGTTCGCTTTCTGTGAAAAGCAAAAGCTGAAAGTCCTAGTACTAGTATTACGTGGTAGCAGCAACCACCAGTTGGCAAGGCTGTTGATGGCTCCACTTTTCGAGGTTTGCTTAGAAGCAAACTGATGGTGGATTTGGCTCTTCAGCATATGCCAGTACCAATTTACTATCGAAACGAATGAATGAGGTCATCCGAAACTGACTAGCGATGTTCAAGGATTTTTGGGCTCGAAAAGCGTTTTTATGCATTTTTGCTGTGCAGCGCTATAACGGCGATTTCTGGGTTATCCCACTGGCGGAGTCGTAAAACAACCCTTAGCACTCAATATGTCCATAGGTGGATTCTGGACGGCTTCCTGGGAG